ACACGCTTCGACGAAAATGCAAAAATATATAAAAAACAAGTTCATTTTAATCAAGAACAAAAGAACAAAGTCTTTCTGTCAACTTTTCTCTTCAGCTTTAAGTTATTAAAGGAGAAGCAAAGCGTTCTAATTTAATTCAAGTAAAGCTTTGCCAGCGGGATATGAGATCGTCAAGGTCAGCATTCTCTTGAAAAATTTACGCCCCAATTGCGGAAAAAGCTTCAAATCAAGATTTTTTTCCCCTTCATCTAACTTCCTGTCTCTCACTTATTCGTGTATAAATGGTTAATGGCCTTAAGGATAATTCAGTTAGTTTTGTATGGATTTCGATCCGCTCAAACACGAACATACACAGGAGTAGGTACTTGATTTACATATTCAATGTCGCTGTCGGGCGGTAAATATTACATTAATTATCTAAAACTGTTTCGAATCTTTCCAATTCACTTAGTTTTCACTTGAACAAGGAAGAAGAGTAACATATCAAAACAGTTGATAAAGGAAAATTTGGTACATTGTATCAATCCATCAATTTTCTCTTCAACTCACCTGTACTGAAGCGATCTACATAAGGGAAACAGCTTTAAAGCTACAACTTGATGAAAGTCAGGGGAGGATGTAGGGTACTTTGATATGTTAGTTAAACCAGCATTATTCAATATATATAAATTTGATCACTACCATCCACTAGTTCCTTCTCGAAAAAAAAAAAGAAAAAAAAAAATATATATATATGACATCCTCTTCCGTCGCTCTTGATAAATACTCGTTATAATCAATCAAAATACGTTCTACCTCGAGGTTTATCTCGCGATTCTCTTGATTCATCGCGAAAGTGAAGCGTTTAATCTGTTTGATGATCAAAATAGTCTTAAATAAAGTGCCACTATCTAGCAAACAACCAAATAATGAAACTAGACATTCGATCGAGAGCTCGCCCTTCAGGAACTTTAGAATTATAAAAGATTCCTTTCACGCTTACCTGCTCTCGACAGTAGCAAATTGACTCCAAGAAGTATCAATACCAGCACCTTAGCTAAATCCATCGTTCAATGCTTTTGCTGAGGAAATTTGAAACGCAAATATCAAGTATGATATAGACACAATTTCTGGTCACTGAAGGTGGGACTTAGGATGATACAGCGGAAATATTACGAGAGATCGCGCTTCAAGGCTATAAAGGACCAAACACGTGCATCCCACAATCCCTTTGGTCATTTGGGTGTCAGAAAATATCCGTACGCTTTCGGAAGTTTTCGTTAAGGATCGTAAGAATGATTCGCCCTTACGAAATCGTTGGATATTTCTTAGATTGTTCTTTAAAACCTTTGCCGACGGGGGTTGAGATCGTCAGGGTCACGCAATGTCTTGGAAGCTTTGCAACACTATTAAGGAAAAAGCTTTAACTCAGATTTTTTCCCCTTCGTCTATCCTCCTGTTTAGCTCTTTCTCATTCATGTCTATGGACGGCGGAATATCGGATAGCTTGATATATTTTAAATTCGGTTAGTTTCGGATGCATTTGGAACCGATAAGATCATCACCTTGATAAAACTACTTGATAAATCATATCTACAGCTTTTATTCCTTAATTAATTTGCATTTGTCTACTTATAAATCACTTTTTTTCCAAAAACAAACAAACAAACAAACAAACAAACAAAAACAAAACAAAAATATGTGTAGGTTTTCGATTGTGTATTCTACTTTAAGAGGGCCACAGGTTTTTCAGTAATTTGAATTACTGTGTAGTGTTACCCTAATAAAAGTAAGTCTCTTTCTTACTCCAAAAATGTTGGAGCTGGCTTCAACGTCAACGAAATGCTACACCACAGAGTCCGAATAAACTTTTTGTAGATCAACCATATTTTTACCAAGATTTGGCGTATGGAACAAGGACTTTAAAACTTGGCTCGGGGATCACCTTGTCACGACAAATGTCATCAGAATTTTACAAGTAAGAGAAGCCTCTCAAAGGCGTTCCCTTCGAGGGCTAGACAGCACTGCTGTAAGCGGAGCGGTAGGGTTTGAAGCAATGCACAAGATAGTGAAGGAATTGGAAGAGGGTGGGGCAGCTACAAAGTGGTGTGAAGATGTTCGGAGAACTCTTAAGGGTGCCAAGCGATACTTGAAGACAGAGTGTGGGATGCACTGTCAGGATGGATGGTTGTCCTTGCCCTGACCATTATATGTGTTTTTTCAAGTGATTCCCAAAACCCTGAGTTTCAAGGAAATTGTTCCCATGAACATCAAGCTAGCTGTGATAGTCGCGAAAGTTTGAAATCCGTAATTCAGGCAATCGGAAAAGGAATTGAATATCCTTTTATAACTTTTGACAACATAGAGAAGAAAGAAGACCTGAAACACGACCACGATGGAGCCAGAGAGGTGATTTTTTAGTGGAGGGTGCATATCA